CGAACCCACCACCGCCGAGCGCCTGCTGTTGGCACGGCGACGCCATGGAGCGGCTTGATAAAGCGGCGCTGAATGCGCTGCAGCCACCCGAGTTCAGGTAGCCCTGAGCTGGGGCCCGGTCCGCTGGGCCGGCTGGCCCTGGCCTGTAGCGGGACTTGAGGGAAGGCCCGTTCGTAACGGGGTGGACGAGGACCCTGGACCCTCTGGATCTAGCTGCGGTGTTGGGGGAGCGGGGAGAGGAAGCAGCTTGCAACCTGTAGGGTCGGTACATCCGGACCCAGCGTTTCACTCACTTAGTAGCAAGAGAATCAGGCTCATGGGAACTAGGTCAGCGGACCTTCAGCTCAGGCTTCTGCCCTAGCACTTCCTCTTGCTGCGGTCTGTATTGTGCTTGTACCGTTTGCAGCCTGCCTCTCTCCCTGCTGCAGGATGTGGTCTCCGAGGACAGGAACCTGGCCTCCTTCATCCCCGAGTGCCCTACTGAGACCTGCATCGTCGGGTTTAATAAGTGTTTGCTGTGTGAATGGAAACAGTGGAAGTAGAAGTGGAAATTGGTCCCTTGCTTCTCTTAAGGGAAACCAGTCAATAGGATGAGGGGGACTAGTGGCTGAGCAGAAGCAACCTGATGAAAAATCCAAGTGTTTCAGCCCAACCTCAGTAGGCAGAGATGGGTGGGGAAGGAATACCTGCCATATATTGAGGTATACTGGGCTTAGTTACTCTAAATTCTTACTTTCCTAATTTTGAGGGGGCGAAATTAACTCGAGGTAAGAGACTTACCCAAGATCACACAATTAGACTACACAGTCGAAGAGTACAAATGTAGAAGCTGACGTTTGACCAAGCCACCGACTCCAAAGCCTGTAATCAGTGGAGCCCTGTGATCTTTTTACTTCCCCTAGTCAAGGCAGGTTCACTTAGGAGGATATTAATGTATTTTTATTAAGTACTTTTGGCATACAGTACAGTCCTACACTGTTAACTAGTATTTTCCAATGGAATTGGCAGTGAAAGCATTTTGTTTTTCATTATTGAAACTTGAATCCAGGGCCTTTGTACTGAGCTACATCCTCAGCCTGTAGCGATTTTTTTAAAAAAAATTTTGAGAGAGTTTCTTGCTAAGTTACCCAGACTGGCCTGGAGCTTGTAATCACTGTGCTTCAGCCTGCCAGAGTTCTGGGATAATGGGTGTGTGCCACCACACTCAGTTTACAAATGAAATCTTGTAGAAGAAAGAATTCTGCCATAAGCATTTTGCCACAGAAAGGAATATCGTAAACTCTTTTTATCTGTTCAGTGTATGGTGCAGACATTTATAGGAAGTGGAAAAGCTAGGCAGCATTTAGAGTGGTGGCCTGATAAAAGTTCATCCTGAACTTTTTCCTGTGCCTAGACAACTTTAATTCTGGCTTTCCCATTCCCCATTTCTAACCCTTCTCAGTGGCCCTCAGTCACTTGATAAAGAAATCAAATGACATCATTTGCTTTGATTTGTAATAAACTGCAGAGTCTGCCAGAGCTGGTTTGTGCCAGCAGAACTGATGGGTGCAGTGGGCTGTGGCTTGAAGTCAGAAAATGTGCTGTAAGGATTAGGGGAAGCTAGGCAATTTTCAGAAGTTTATAGGCTTAACATTGACGCTGCATGTTCATGTGCCACATTGGATGTTTTGCTTAGTGACAGGCTATGTATATGATCGTGGCGTCATATAAGATTAGCCATCTGACCTTGAGTGAGTTATCCTCTGTAATGTGTGCACAGTGACTGCATCATCATCATCTAACGGTGCATTTCTCAGAACGTTCGCCCTCTCAGTGAGCTATGTATGATTATATGTAGTCCTACATTAGCTGAGGTTATAACCCAGAAAAGTAATCCGGCTTTTGAAGTTTAAGATAGAGTAGTGAGGAGGAACTGAGGATATGTTACAAAGTGTTAAGGTAGGCTATAGGTAGAGAAACTAATATATAGGAAAGAAAAGGTTATGTTTGGGTGGTGGGAAGTAAAGTTTTTTTTTTTAAACGCTATTACTGTTAAATCATCTTTTTCAATAATAAACTTTTAAAAAAGGCAGACCAGATAACAGATACCTAGGAATAATAAGGAACAAAAGCAGGTAACCTTCGCTATCTCTGGAACTTAGTTCCTTTATCATCTTAGTCTCAAAATTGCTTTAGTAATCACAAAAACTTCAAGGTCAAGGGCCTTTTAGACCCACAAAGGAATCAGAGAAATAGTTACTGTACTTTTTGTAGACCTGATACTACAGGCATTCATATTCCTTAGGAAGATTATCCAGTGAAATCCTGAGATTGACTACAAGGAAACAGTTTAAGGGGGTTTCTGTATATTAGATAAAAGGGAGCCAGAATGAGACTGGTTAAAAGGAGATCCTTTGATGTAGCGAAAGGAGATAAAACTTTTTGGATAGCATTCTCTCACATTTGTGGGACATGTAGTCAGACAGACATGGGATTATAATATCACATGTTTCACCCATCATTTTTGTGTATGTGTGCAAGTTTTAAATTTCAGTGCTGGGATCAGATTCAGGGCCTCACAATATGGAAGTGCTATACTATTGAGCTGTAACCCATAGTAAATTTTGTGTGTATTTGTCATTTACAACATGTTAGGACTCAGAACTTTTTCTTATGTTTTAGTTCAATTAAAAACTTGTTTCCCTGTGTTATAAACAGGCTTCTTTCTATTTTTGTGCAGGCTGGCCTCGAATCTTCCTGCCTCAGCCCTCTAGTGTGCTGGGATGAAAAGTGCATTACCACATCTGGCTAGGAACAGGCACCTCTTAAGCTTTGTGGCCAGGTGTGGGGATTGGTGGAGGCAACTGCAGGGACTTTTCGTGTGAATGGATTGTGCTATTTCTTAATTCCGCTGCTCCGGCCCTCTGTTCCTGTGCTTTTTCACAGAATGCCATGTGGTGGTTTGGTTTTTAGGATTCTGTGCAGTGGCGTAGCTGGTAGTAGAGGGGACGGTCCCTGTGGCACAAGTTTTGGGCTGTGTCATTGGCCGAAAGGAAAATTAATTATATTGTAACAATTTACTCCATTTTAACATGGCGAAGATTGGTATACGTGGAAATAGAATGTTTTTCTCTCCACATCATTCTAATTTCTATTTAAATAGATAATCAGATCCGTGGGAGGGCGAGAATTGAAGGACTGCCCCTACCATGCAAACTCTCATTATGCCACTGCCTGCTGCAGTTGCAGGCTGATTTCATTGTGGGGAGTGTGGGTTCTGCTGCTGACATAGAGGCATTTCCAATGTCGTGGAGGCCCTTGATTTTTCCTCCTGGGACTCAGGGTCAGATTCCGCTGGCCTGGTGACACACATTGGACAGATACCCTGCATATGAATGGATCACACTGGATATAAAATGACAGTCGCATGAGAGTGGGGTCGCATGTGCCAGATAGCATCTCTTCTGTAGATGCGTATAGCTTTAGGGACAGATAAATATTTGTATATGACACTGAGGACTACTGTTTCTTTCTGGTTTTTTCTTTTTCCAGAAGTGAAAGTTCACTGGCATCAACCCTGAAGACACTACTCTTCTTCACAGCAATAATGATAACGGTGCCTATTGGCTTATATTTCACAACCAAATCATATATATTTGAAGGTAATCCTTGACTCAGAAGACACATTTTTTCCCTTATTAATTTAATATTGTGCTTTTGTTATCTGTCAGCTTCTGTCTTTCCAAAAATGGCATTGTGCATGAATTGTCACAGTAAATACTTCAGCATTTGTAATTATTGCAGCCTGTCATTTTGTTCACAGATTTATTTATTTTTTGGTACCAGGAATCGAACTTGAGTCCTTGGACTTTTTTTTTTCTTTTAAATTGAATTTATTGGTACATTCTAGGTACACAGTACAGTTACATTCATTATTGGGATCTTGTACCTTTACATGCCAGGTCTTGGTTCTCATTTTTTCCCCTTGTCCCCACCCTCCCATCACCCCCTCCTCCCCTCCCCACCTTTAAACACTTTAATT